CAATTTTTTCTGCATCTGATCTTCCCATTATTGCGCTACATGCTTTCTTTATTTTCTCCTCTAAGTCCTCAATTTAATCTTTTTTCGGGAGACCCTCGATTCTTAAATTCTTCCTTCTATCCCTGTTCTGATCCTCTTTTATATGCTAATTTTCTCTGTTCTCTGCACATCTCCTCTACCTGCGTCTCCAATTTATTCATCAGTTGAGTGTGAACTTCCACTCCCTCTTCCAATCTCGTTGATATTCGTCCCAGATCATTGCGTAGTAACACCAATCTCATTTTTCAGACACTGCTCCATTTTTATGAACATTTCTGCCATATCTATTTTTGTTAGAATTTGTAACATGGCTCCATGCTGTTCCAAGGTACTCTGATCCATTACACTTTCCCCACTTATTGATTCGTTTATCCGTTCCTCTTCCCGGGATCCTACTTACAGTCTGGAATGATCTCCATCTATCCCACTTTTTCCATTTTGTTGTTTTTTTGCATAGATCGATTTCTCTGGGCTTTTCTCCTGTAGGGGCATGTAATTTTTTGTTGTTGTGGCATTAACATTCCGTTGAGGGGTTTTTGCACCCCCTCCTTTAGCTTGTTTGCCCTTCATTTCTGGTCAGTTCCCTTGTTAATCTTCTTGTGGTCTCCGTTTTCGTATTGCTGTCAGTTTAAGTCATTTATTCATCCATTTATCTCCACCTTAGCTCTGTTAGTTCTCAATCATATAATACCCCCCCCAGGAAAGTCCTCTTGCGATCACTTCTATTAAATTTTTCTGTTACCTTGAGCCACAGAGGCGGGCAAACCGATCCACCCGTCAGTTCAAGAGAACAAAAGGCAAGAGAGAAGAGCCCCCCCCCCCGGAAATAGTCTTCTGTCCCCCTGTCAAGTTCCAGCACATTTGCTATACTTTTCCATCATGGCATATTGTCAGGGCTCCGGGGTATGACCAGAGGTGTGTGACTGACGCAGGGAAACGCAGACTTCAGATATGTTATAAACAATACGATTTATTAACACTAACAATACAAACATAAACGCAGTGCAATACTAAACATAATACAGTGCAAACAAACCAAACCAACCACCCACAGATAACAGTACAAACAATGCAAGCATCGTCAGGCAGGCCGGGTCAATATCAATTGGGCAGGTAGGTACAGGGGGAGCAAGCGGAGAATGGTCGGGGTCACAAGCCAGGGTCAGCAGGTAGCGGGCAGCGTGGTACAGAGGGTCAGGCAGAGGGATGGTCAGGAACGAGCCGGGGTCAGAGCAGGAGAAGTCAGCAGAGGTATAGATCAGGCCGGGTCAGCAACAAGACAGGAACAGGAATAGGAACAGGAACAGAAACAGAAACAGGAAGCAGGAACAGGATACAGGGCCAGGAAAAACATACACCAAGGCAGAGTCTGCAGGTCTGGCCATCCCTTAAATACACCAGTATAATTAGTTCCAGGTGTTTGACTGGCTGCAAGGTTGAGTCTCTGATTGCTGGGAGCACCCGCTGGCCAGCCCTGGTACTGCAGCTCATAAGGCAGGTGAGTCCCACTATTGCTGGCCAGTCCATTCCTGACAGTACCCCCCCCTCAAGGAGCGGCCTCAGGACGCTCCAAACAGTCCTAGCTGGGCAAAATGTTCCACCGCCCGGGTCTGGTAACTGGCGGGATATCAAAGACTGGCACACCGGGCAGGACCCCTGGCAGCGGCACACCGGGCAGGGGCACACTGGGCAGAGGCACACCGGGCAGAGGCACATCGGGCTGGACTCCGGGCAGAGGCACATCGGGCTGGACTCCGGGCAGAGGCACATCGGGCTGGACTCCGGGCAGAGGCACTCCGGGCAGCGGCACATCGGGCAGAGGCACTCCGGGCAGCGGCACATCGGGCTGGACTCCGGGCAGAGGCACATCGGGCTGGACTCCGGGCAGAGGCACATCGGGCTGGACTCCGGGCAGAGGCACATCGGGCTGGACTCCGGGCAGAGGCACATCGGGCTGGACTCCGGGCAGAGGCACATCGGGCTGGACTCCGGGCAGAGGCACATCGGGCTGGACTCCGGCGAGCAGCAGCACATCAGGCCACCAGGCGAAGCAGCAGGCACCGGGCCACCAGGCGCGAGCAGCAGGCACCGGGCCACCAGGCGGAGCAGCAGGCACCGGGCCACCAGGCGGAGCAGGCAGGCAGCGGGCCACCAGGCGGAGCAGCAGGCAGCGGGCCACCAGGCGGAGCAGCAGGCAGCGGGCCACCAGGCGGAGCAGCAGGCAGGCGGGGGCCACCGGGCGGAGAGCAGCAGGCACCGGGCCCCCAGGGGGGGCGAGCAGGCACGGGCCCCCAGGCGGGGCGACAGGCATCGGGCCCCCAGGCGGGGCGACAGGCACGGGCCCCCCGGCGGGGTGCAGCAGGCATTGGGCCCCCAGCGGGCAGCAGGCACCGGGCCCCAGGTGGGGCGACAGGCACCGGGCCCCCAGGCGGGGCGACAGGCACCGGGCCCCCAGGCGGGAGTAGCAGGCACCGGGCCCCCAGGCGGGGCGACAGGCAACCGGGCCCCCAGGCAAGCGGAGCAGCAGGCACCGGGCCCCCCGGCGGGGGGCGACAGGCGTCGGGCCCCCCAGGCGGGGCGACAGGCATCGGGGCCCCCAGGCGGGGCGACAGGCATCGGGCCCCCAGGCGGGCAGCGACAGGCGCCGGGCCCCCAGGCGGGGCGACAGGCACGGGCCCCCAGGCGGGGCGACAGGCACCGGGCCCCCCGGCGGGGCGACAGGCATCGGGCCCCCCGGCGGGGAGCGGCGGCCCCCAGGTGCCGGACCCCCCAGGCGGGTAGCGACGGGTCTCGGGCCCCCAGGCGGAGCGGCGGGGGCACCCAGAGCGGGGCCAGGCACGACAGTGGGCTCCGAGTCAACTGGCAAGACTGCGGGCACCGAGCCAACTGGCGGAACAGCGGGCTTCGAGTCGTCTGGCAAGACTGCGGGCACCGAGTCGTCTGGCGGGGCGAACAGCGGGCATCGGGTCAACTGGCGGGGAACAGCGGGCCCCGAGTCGCGGGGCGAAGACATGCGGGCACCGAGTCGTCTGGCAAGATCGGGCACCGAGTCGTCTGGCAAGGCATGCGGGCCCGAGTCGTCTGGCAGGACTGCGGGCACCGAGTCGTCTGGCAAGACGGCGGGCCCCGGTCGTCTGGCAAGACGGCGGGGCACCGACAGTCGGGCTCTGGCAACGGCGCGGCACCGAGTCAACTGGCGGAACAGCGGGCATCGAGTCAACTGGCGGAACAGCGGGCTTCGAGTCGTCTGGCAAGACTGCGGGCACCGAGTCGTCTGGCAAGACGGCGGGCCACCCCACACCGAGTCGTCTGGCAAGACTGCGGGCACCGAGTCGTCTGGCGGAACAGCGGGCATCGAGTCAACTGGCGGAACAGCGGGCACCGAGTCGTCTGGCAAGACTGCGGGCACCGAGTCGTCTGGCAAGACTGCGGGCACCGAGTCGTCTGGCAAGACTGCGGGCACCGAGTCGTCTGGCAAGACTGCGGGCACCGAGTCGTCTGGCAAGACTGCGGGCACCGAGTCGTCTGGCAAGACTGCGGGCACCGAGTCGTCTGGCAAGACTGCGGGCATCGTCACCGAGTCGTCTGGGGCACACCGAGTCGTCTGGCAAGACTGCGGGCACCGAGTCGTCTGGCAAGACGGCGGGCACCGAGTCGTCTGGCAAGACTGGCGGGCACCGAGTCGTCTGGCAAGACAGCGGGCATCGAGTCAACTGGCGGAACAGCGGGCACCGAGTCGTCTGGCAAGACTGCGGGCACCGAGTCGTCTGGCAAGACTGCGGGCACCGAGTCGTCTGGCAAGACGCGGGCACCGAGTCATCTCTGGCAAGACGGCGGGCACCGAGTCGTCTGGCAAGACGGCGGGCACCGAGTCGTCTGGCAAGACGGCGGGCACCGAGTCGTCTGGCAAGACTGCGGGCACGAGTCGTCTGGCGGAACAGCGGGCACCGAGTCAACTGGCGGAACAGCGGGCACCGAGTCGTCTGGCAAGACTGCGGGCACCGAGTCGTCTGGCAAGACTGCGGGCACCGAGTCGTCTGGCAAGACTGCGGGCACCGAGTCGTCTGGCGGAACAGCGGGCATCGAGTCAACTGGCGGAACAGCGGGCACCGAGTCGTCTGGCAAGACTGCGGGCACCGAGTCGTCTGGCAAGACTGCGGGCACCGAGTCGTCTGGTAAGACTGCGGGCACCGAGTCAACTGGCGGAACAGCGGGCACCGAGTCGTCTGGCGGAACAGCGGGCACCGAGTCGTCTGGCAAGACTGCGGGCACCGAGTCGTCTGGCAAGACTGCGGGCACCGAGTCGTGGCGGCAAGACTGCGGGCACCGAGTCGTCTGGCAAGACTGCGGGCACCGAGTCAACTGGCGGAAGACAGCGGGCACCGAGTCGTCTGGCAAGACTGCGGGCACCGAGTCGTCTGGCAAGACTGCGGGCACCGCGTCGTCTGGCATTGGATCGTCTGGCTCGACAGCGGGCATCGGTCACCAGGTATGACAGCGGGCACTGGGTCACCAGGCATCAGGTCATTTGGCTCGCCAGCGGGCACCGCGTCATCTGGCAAGGCAGTGGGCACCGAGTCACCAGGTACGACAGCGGGCTCTGAGTCAATTGGCACGACAGTGGGCACCGGATCAGGTACGGATCATCTGGATCAACAGCGGGCATCGAGTCAACTGGCCTAATAGGATCATCAGGCTGGATCAGTTCATTATGCTGGGTAGAAGCATCCGGCTGAGTAGAGGCTTCAGGCTGAGTAGAGGCTTCAGGCTGAGTGGAGGCATCAGGCTGAGTGGAGGCATCAGGCTGAAGAGAGGCATCAGGCTGAAGAGAGGCATCAGGCTGAACCACGGAAGGCAGGTTCTCGGACGGCAGGCTGACCGGTTTGGATACTGGCAGGATGGTACTGGTTGGAAAGAATTTTCGCTTTTTTCTGGTTTTAACTACTGGGGCACTGCAAGTAAACGCAGGTCTGCAAATGAATGGAGCAGCTGGAGACAGAGAAGAGCTGGAGGATGGAACAGGGGAAGGAACAGTCGCTACAGAGGGCTTCTTTACAGGGTTAAAGGCAGGATAGGTGCAGCGAGTGGGAAACAGGGTACTGACATGCGGTAGATAGCAGGGCAGGAGGAGCTGTTGGGAATACAGGAGTAGAGCTTTGAGGAAATAGATTAGAAGCAGGACTGGGTCTTTGTAAGCTGACTGAGGCTGGGTGTAACAAATCTGTCCATGTCTGCAGTATGGGTTGAACAAAGCTGAGCTTACACAAAGCCTGTCTGACCAAAGACTGCACTGCGTTTATACAATCTCTTAGTACCTGTGGTGAACATGTGGAATAACGCTCGAAAGTAACCCACATCATCCTCTAATAACCGTACCAGGGACTCTACCTGGTCTGCACTAAATGGTGGCAAAAATTCATCCCTGCATTCGGGGGTACCAGATGAAACCAACTCAGCACAAACCTCAATCAATGGCTGCACCTCAGAGAACTCTGTGCCCTGATCTACTAGAACATGAGCGAGCCGTATACATTCTAGCAGTTCATCCCGGGTATACTCCTTCAGAGTTTGATAAGCATACTCCCTGTCATCAAACACTAGCAGATATAAATACGCAACCTCATCCAGATCCATCCTTCCCATCAACAAGCCAAGATGGCTTCCCTGTGCAGTCACTTCTGGTCAGGATTGGCCTTGGTGTAATGTCAGGGCTCCGGGGTATGACCAGAGGTGTGTGACTGACGCAGGGAAAACGCAGACTTCAGATATGTTATAAACAATACGATTTATTAACACTAACAATACAAACATAAACGCAGTGCAATACTAAACATAATACAGTGCAAACAAAACCCAACCAACCACCCACAGATAACAGTACAAACAATGCGAGCGTCGTCAGGCAGGCCGGGTCAATATCAATCGGGCAGGTAGGTACAGGGGGAGCAAGCGGAGAATGGTCGGGGTCACAAGCCAGGGTCAGCAGGTAGCGGGCAGCGTGGTACAGAGGGTCAGGCAGAGGGATGGTCAGGAACGAGCCGGGGTCAGAGCAGGAGAAGTCAGCAGAGGTATAGATCAGGCCGGGTCAGCAACAAGACAGGAACAGGAATAGGAACAGGAACAGAAACAGGAAGCAGGAACAGGATACAGGGCCCAGGAAAAACATACACCAAGGCAGAGTCTGCAGGTCTGGCCATCCCTTAAATACACCAGTATAATTAGTTCCAGGTGTTTGACTGGCTTCAAGGTTGAGTCTCTGATTGCTGGGAGCACCCGCTGGCCAGCTTTGGTACTGCAGCTCGTAAGGCAGGTGAGTCCCACTATTGCTGGCCAGTCCATTCCTGACACATATACATTATTATTATTATACAGTATTTATAAATCGCCAATAGTTCGCTCAGCGCTGTACATTACAATTGGGGACAGAACAATAGCAATACAATACAAAGCAAAATATGAGGGGATCGAGGGCCCTGCTCTTTCGAGCTTACAATTTAGGAGGGAGGGGAAGGTGGCACAGGAGGAGAAAGCTGTGGGGGATGGAGTGGTAGGAAGAGTGGAGGAGGTCGGCAAGTTAGCAGGGGGTGGGGTAGGCTTCCCTGAAGAGGTGGGTTTTCAGGGAGCACCTAAAGGAGAGGAGAGTAGGTGATAATCTGATGGGTTGATGCAGGGAGTTCCAGAGGATGGGTGACACCCTGGAGAAGTCCTGGAGGCGGGGGCATGGGAGGAGGAGACTAGGGAACTAGAGAGAAGGAGGTCTTGTGTGGAGCAGAGTGTGCGTGTTGGGTGGTACTTGGATATTAGGTCGGTGATGTAGTTCGGGGCAGTGTGGTGGACAGCTTTGTACGTCAGTGTTAGGATTTTGAATTTGATCCGTTGCACAATCGGAATCCAGTGGAGGGATTGGCGGAGGGGGGTGGCGGAAACGGAGCGGTTGAAAAGGTGAATGAGTCTGGCAGCCATATTCAGGAGCGACTGAAGCGGGGGATAGCCAGCGGCGAGGCAGGCCAGTAAGGATATACATCAGATATAATAACAGAATTGCAATTCCTACCATTACTCACGGCAACTCACCATCACTGTCTAAGCTGACCTTTCTGGGAGTTGCAGCTTTCTATTCACGTCTAGCGTACTCTCCACTTCCCATCTCCAACTTTATCCACATGGGGACTCGCTGTACTTTATTTAGGCTTCAGGGGGCTCAAGATCTCATTTATTTATATATATACAGTGGGGCAAAAAAGTATTTAGTCAGCCACCAATTGTGCAAGTTCTCCCACTTAAAAAAATGAGAGAGGCCTGTAATTGGCATCATAGGTAGACCTCAAACTATGAGAGACAAAATGAGAAAACAAATCCAGACAATCACATTGGCTGATTTGGAAAAAATTTATTTGCAAATTATGGTGGAAAAAATAAGTATTTGGTCAAAATCAAAAGTTCATCTCAATACTTTGTTATATATCCTTTGTTGGCAATGACAGAGGTCAAATGTTTCCTGTAAGTCTTCACAAGGTTGGCACACACTGTTGCTGGTATGTTGGCCTATTCCTCCATGCAGATCTCCTCTAGAGCAGTGATGTTTTGGGGCTGTCGCTACGCAAAACGGACTTTCAACTCCCTCCAAAGGTTTTCTATGGGTTTGAGATCTGGAGACTGGCTAGGCCCCTCCAGGACCTTGAAATGCTTCTTACGAAGCCACTCCTTTTGCGTTGCCCGGGCGGTATGTTTGGGATCATTGTCATGTTGGAAGACCCAGCCACGTTTCATCTTCAATGCCCTTGCTGATGGAAGGAGGTTTGCACTCAAAATCCCACGATACATGGCCCCATTCATTCTGTCCTGTACATGGATCAGTCGTCCTGCTCCCTTTACGGAGAAACAGCCCCAAAGCATGATGTTGCCACCCCCATGCTTCACAGTATGTATGGTGTTCTTTGGATGCAACTCAGCATTCTCTCTCCTCCAAACACGACGAGTTGTGTTTCTACCAAACAGTTCCTATTTTGGTTTCATCTGACCATATGACATTCTCCCAATCCTCTTCTGGATCATCCAAATGCTCTCTAGCAAACTTCAGACGGGCCCGGACATGTACTGGCTTAAGCAGGGAGACACGTCTGGCACTGCATGATCTGAGTCCCTGGCGGCGTAGTGTGTTTACTGATGGTAGCCTTTGTTACGTTGGTCCCAGCTCTCTGCAGGTCATTCACTAGGTCCCCCCCGTGTGGTCCTGGGATTTTTGCTCACCGTTCTTGTGATCATTTTGACCCCACGGGGTGAGATCTTGCGTGGAGCCCCAGATCGAGGGAGATTATCAGTGGTCTTCTGTATGTCTTCCATTTTCTAATTATTGCTCCCACAGTTGATTTGTTCACACCAAACTGCATGCCTATTGCAGATTCAGTCTTCCCATCCTAGTGCAGGTCTACAATTTTGTTTCTGGTGTCCTTCGACAGCTCTTTGGTCTTCACCATAGTGGAGTTTGGAGTGTGACTGTTTGAGGTTGTGGACAGGTGTCTTTTATACTGATAACAAGTTCAAACAGGTGCCATTGATACAGGTAATAAGTGCAGGACAGAGGAGCCTCTTAAAGAAGCAGGTACAGGTCTGTGAGAGCCAGAAATCTTGCTTGTTTGTAGGTGACCAAATACTTATTTTCCACCATAATTTGCAAATAAATTCTTTCCAAATCAGCCAATGTGATTGTCTGGATTTTTTTTCTCATTTTGTCTCTCATAGTTGAGGTCTACCTATGATGCCAATTACAGGCCTGTCTCATCTTTTTAAGTGGGAGAACGTGCACAATTGGTGGCTGACTAAATACTTTTTGCCCCACTGTATATATACAGTGTATATATATATATATATATATATATATATTTTTTTTTTTTTATTTTTTTTTCTCCTCCAAGGGAGATGTCCTGCCCGTGCTCAGGCAAAAATATTCTGGCAAATCTTCATCTGTCGAGCTTCCCAGCTCTCAGGACCTTTATGGCTCCCCTGAAGTGTGGGAAATCCCGTAGGCAGTGTGGAAAATCCTCTCTGCTCTCTCCACCGGCTGTCAGCTCCCTCCTCCTCCTTCCACTTTCAAGCTTGCTGGGTCTCTGGGCTCCACTCCGCCGCCACCCACCGGACCTCCACCATTCTGTCTCCTGGATCTGTCCTCCACACTCTGCAGATCCCGCTGAACGGTCTCCGACCCTCTCCGCGGTAGGTGTGTCCTGGCGTCCAGCTGTTCAGTGGCTGGGCAGCGAGGGACAGAGCTTCGCTCCTGTCACATTTGGTCAGTGGCCGGGCAGCGAGGGACAGCTTCACTCCTGTTACTTTCAAATTTGGCAGCCGCCCGGAGCAAACGCTGTTCATGCTTAGGCCCCTCCCCCAGAGAACGTGAGCTTCCCACTTCATTACTTCTAATAAGTGCACAAACACCTTGATTCAATGACATTCACTAGGACTGAAGAAGTGGCTTGGATAAGCTATAAATGTCTTCAACACTACAGAAAAGTCCAGTTGAATGTGATCAAACTACTGCTAGCTATGCCATGTCCTTGATAAATGAGAAACTTCACAGACAATACCTGTGTTGGCTCCAACCTGCTCAAATTCATCCTGGCTTGGCTGAAATTTGAGGAGTGTGTGACCCTACTGGCACCATTTCATTCGACAAAAGTGGAT